TAGGATTAGGAAGAAAGCGAAGAACAGGTGGAAAGCGAGTCTCAAAGCATATATTTCGGAAGACATGGTTGTGTGTCTTGTTGCGACGTACAACAGAACAGTAGATTGTCCTCGTTAAAGGTACGTCCCTTTAAACTCCGGTTGATGCTGCGATGACGGAACCTGGGATCAAAAAATCCATTTATTTAATAAACATTTGAGCTAAAATTATGAAAGAATGTATGTGTAGTATTATTTTGCTTGAATAACGGGATAATTAATTTCCTGTTCTGTAAGGCTAAAGAGATCATTTTTTCCTATACGTAGTAAGCCAGAAATCGGTGAGAACCTTACAGGATAATGTCGATCCCGTGCTCATGGGGACCTCTTATGTTATTTAGATATTTCATTACATGGGCAACAAAACATAAAATGCAAATATCCTCCCTATCATATATATTACCTAAGGTGGCGCCATGTTGTTGCAGATGATGGGTCAAATAACATATTTCGTTTTCTTGTTTCTAGCGTATGTAATGTTAAAAATATTGATACAACTTTGTTTTAATATAAGAATATACCTTTTCTCCAGAATTCGAAGTGCTTAAAAAATGAAATTCATTGATACAATTATTGTTAATAATTGATAAGTATTTTTTGCAATAGCAGTGCAATTAGGACTTGCTCAAGGCCATGTCGCGGCGCTCAAAAATGCTGTTTGCCATATTATCTGCAACAACATGGCGCAAATAGCATCTCGATACATCAAACCGTTTTCAGAATATTTGCTGAGGCCAACGTAGATGGTCCACTCTGCATATACAGTAGTGTAAATGGATAGAGAAAAAAAATGGTAGACCCTCCCTAGTATATGTGCACCGATACTTAAATGACAATTGGAAGTGAAGAAATGTATATAGAAAATACACCTACACTTGCGACGGTGTAAAACTAATGTCTCCCCGGAGTGGATCTGTACAACAGAATCAATTAAGATACTGTGTTTGCATTTAGAAAATTGTAATGTATTCTAAAGTTCATATTAGCATTGTATTTCTTTTATAAATATATATTTATTCATAACGAAAGTGTTTTGATACAAAGTGATTCGTGACTATTTCAGCTTGCGGCACTCGAGTGGTGGGATTCATGAGTGGCAAATATAGGAAATTGCCCCCCCCTTCTCCTTCGATATTGATAATATTTAAATTTACTATATATGAACTTCCTATTCAAATTGCTCTGGATGTTATAACCTCCAAATTCCCCGCTTCTTGATTGCCGCCGCCTCTCTAAAATGTTACCGCTGCCTGATCCACTGTGCTGGGCCCACTCGATCAATGATTGTGACCTAACGATTTCGCTGTAGGCCATTATAAGTGGTTGACTCGAAGTACGGAGCTCCAGTATAGCCCTGGACACAGTTGGCGTCAAGAGTGTAAAGAAAGAATTTTTAGTTAACGGGTAATTCTGCAAAACTTCAGCACCGCACAGCAGCATAGTCATTCCAAAAATGTAGGCACTTACCTAATATATGTACCATTCGCTTCGCAGTAAGTAAATACTCGCTTCGATGAGGGAAGACAGAGGGCTCTTTATTTATTTTTTATTATTTTAAGAAGTGGAGGCGTGTTCGCCCTACTTTACAATTTTGTGTTCGCGGCTCAAGGTCAGCTGTAGGGATGTTTTCCTGAGTGTTGCCCTTAGATCGGGGAAGATAGTCTGGGCTTGCAATAATTTATAAAATTTTACTTCGTTATTTCGGTATAAAGAAAAATATAAATTTGTTTAACCTTCCGACTTCATATTTTTTTAACTTTATTTTTTACCTCTTCCTAAATTAATGTAAATAAATTCTTGATATGTTAATTTTAGAGAGTATGAGAATTCAAATTTACCTCCCCAATATGCGATCTGGAATCCCGCCAAAACCCTATCTGACTCCCTCAACCTAGTGCGGCTAGCGGGGTTGTCAAACATAGTTGCAAGATTCTTTATTACCACCCCACCGTAGTAACAAAATTACATTAAACGGATGTAGTAGGAATAGATTATTCTGAGAGAAAATGTAAATAATTTCATTTGCATTATCACACATTATTATAACAAATATACATATGGATAAGAAAATAAAGAATGGAAAATACTATGTTTTATTATTATAGCAGCACCTACGTTAACACTCCCTATCTTGAAGTTGTGACGATATAATCACTAGCGAAGGAGCATTACCTTAAATGAAGCTGTGCGATTTGGAAAACATACCATGATGAATTCAATTTCTTTGAAAGGGTCAATGACGGAGTTCTACATAATCACGAATGGTGAAACTTTACAGAAACATCAATGTTCACTATAACACACATTCTCTGGAGTAATGTATATATTCTGAAAATAAATTCCCAAAAATGTCTGACCATACCATTTACTGACCATAGTCAATTGATACAGACCATCTGAAAATTATTCGACGTGTTGCTTTACCCTTGAAAGCTGGTCACTAAACTGTAATGTAATAATTTTGGAAAACAGTATGTGTCCTTATTTAAATATCTTCCTTTGAAGAACAGATTTCAATCATGAAAAATTCTCTATATTTAATATTAGTTATATGAAGATGCCGAAAATTTTCAACTTTTACGATTTTCAAAAATTCTGGGTTCAGCGAAAAGAAAATCTGCACTTTTTTTAAAGAGTACTTGGGTGTATTCGCGGGAAAAAATTAATAACAAATTTGGAGCTATTTGCGAAAAAATTTTGAAAATGTTGCTAAGATTTCAAGTAAAGTACTACCTAAAGTCAGTGTACCCATTTCAAACTGGAAGACCTCGAATCCGACCAGATTGATAAGGGATTGTCATTGTTAGAAAAAAATCGTCAGAATTATTTCGGCACTAGTATTGACCACAAACGGACATGTCGCCGTAGACCAATTGTTCGGCTTCAAGGACATACAAAACATGTATTCTGACTATTCAACGTGTTACAGAAAGTAATTTACTGCATGTAGGATAAAGATTTATCATTTTTAAAAAACCAACCCACAACATGAGTCTCACAAAAATCGCCAATTTATGCTGTAAAATTATAATGCTTCTTTTTACAGCGTAAGTAGTTGGTAGATGGGAAGTAAATAGTGTTATTTTTAAAGAAATTTGTTGTGGGGTCGAGCAGTAAGAGGCTCCATTCCGAAATACTATCTAGATGCTTCCTCCTTACAGAATCATTGCTGTGCATTTATCTCCTCAGCACAATGTACAATCATGTGCATCATATGTGTATATGTAAAGTAGTTCAAAAGTTGCCGTTTATCAACATCGTCCAGTCGACAAAACTGTACATAGTAATTCACTGGTTATTTTCAAGTAAAATCATATTTAGATCTAATAAAATCAAAGACCTGCACTGAGAGCTAATAAATACTTATAAATAACAAGCGCCACTCTGCTAATGCGTTATGAAATAGAAATCTTCCATGCGGACAGGTGTCGTCGTAATCTGCCTGCCTAAGTATATTTGCACTTCCATCGAGTGATAAACCGCGCCCTTAATCGGACTTCTCATTATGGCACGAAGCGAGCCGACTTTCGGACGTGCCTAACCAGAGGCGCGAGTTGATTGGAGAAGAAATAAAATGAGACTGTTCGCACCAGCTTATGTTACAAAAATCTTGGGTTGAGAAAGTAGCTGAGCTGCCTTAATGAAATGTTCATTTTATATATTCGGATGAAAAATGATTACATAATACTAATATTGTAACAGTTATTTAAATGTATTATGTGCGAAATGTGTGAAACCAGTGCTTATTCATCAGGGTAAGCACTGCCTACCTTGCTTACCGCAAGAGACATCACTGCAGACCTTATGAAAGTCCAACGTTATTTCCTGGCCTCCGAGTTGAATATATTCGAGAAAAATCATGTATTGTTCAAGAATAAATGACATAGATGCTGTTGAGGTGTCTAATTTTAATTGGCCACCTTTGAAGTGAGGCCGTTTAATTCGTACATGGTTGTGAATTGCAACAGTGCATCTTAAAAATTATCTTACTCTATTTTGGATTCTGATTATCAATGGAAAATTTCATAAATTGAAAATTTGTTCCTGAGCTGGGTTTGTTGATTGATTTAAAAAATATTTTGTCAATTTCAACACTAAAAACATTCAATAAAATGAGTGGGCAGTTTAAAATTATTTATTACAATTATTTATCCGCTTGGTACTAACATGATTATAAAAGATAATAAAAAGCTGAAAAGTGGAAACAATCTATTTTTCAAATAGCCTAAAACACGTTTTTAAAATCTTAAAAATCCTGGCCCTATAAGTCAGATTGATCTTTATGCTCTTCCGCTGAGGTTCACCTCATTCCTGAGTAAATACGCATACTTTACATAAATGATGCGAATCCTTTTAGGAGGTGTTTCGTAGTGGTTTGTCCTTGCCTTCCACGTCACAATCACAATTGTTAATATACATGCTTTACGCGAGATTAGAATCACCACATTTCGTTGTGTGCGTTTTCGTTGTGTCGAAATAACTCATTTGTACATAGATACACATCTGAGTAACCTCCCAAATGTGCTACTTATGTGAGAATTACAAATAAATAAACATGATGCAAATTAAATATAAAAATTGATTCTCAAAATTTAATAAGCTTTTTGCACAAAAAAGTGTAGCGATAGTGTGTAGCAACCGCAGCACATCTTTGGTATGGTTCACCATTTTAACCGCTTTCGAAACCGACACGAAAGAGAAAGAAAGCGATCGACAAGAATGTTGAAACATAAATGTTCTTTCTTCAAAATTTGTTCTGCCCAGGGAACATACACAACATTATTAAATTAGTGTTCATTTCGCCCATTTTCGTCTATTAATGAATTACCGACAGTAAACTATGCTCATGTAATCAACAACTTGAAATACTTTTAATGACGTTTTTCTCCTGCTATACTTGAGTTATGAACGAGGTCGATTGTATCGGAATGACGGAAAGACTACGAAGTCCTGAAGAATATCTAAATCTTAATATATCTATATCGATTGGTATACTCACTACTGGTCGCTTCAGCACGACACCTAACTGAGAGGGCGTTCGTGACCTGAAAGAAAAAAAAAGACATTACATTGGGAAAGAAATCTGCAATAGTATTCATAGTAACCATACAACATATCATTACAATTCTTTGTATTGTGACTTAGCAATATTTATTTGTGATTTTGTGTGTGTTATGAAGACTCACAACAAAAAAAAGCCACTAAAATTACGTTTTTAGATATTTTATTTAGTAATTTCATATATATATATTAATATAGTATAATATATATATATATATATATATATATTATATAATTATATAGAGAGAGAGAGAGAGAAGAGAGAGAGAAGAGAGAGAGAGAGAGAGATTACAAATCTAAATTAATGGCTTTTGGCTAATGTCCTGTTTCACTTGGATAGTCGAGTGATTTGTCGATCATAACTTAGGCTAATTTTTTCAAATTATTATTTTCTCTCATACAGAGAAAAATGTTTATTTTTGTACAAATCTACAGTTTTATTCCAATTTTAATGAAATTTTTAACACATCAACTTGACACAAGAGAGTTACTATCAAACGAAGTTATAAAAAAATCCTTTCATAATCCTTAGAGCGTACATTAATTCTGCACTCTGTTCCCTTTTTGCAAATATCATGAAAACAGTTAGTAATTCATTAAAGTGAACTAAACGTTTCTGAAAGCCCATTAAATACCCCACTAAATGCATTTTGGTTCTTTGCGATATCGTATTGACGTTCAGAGTAATTAAAGGCCAAAATTGTTACTGGACAGAATATGCAACAATTCATCTGCTTACTGCTGGCTGTAGCGACGATGGTTGTTACACACCTGACAGGCCGGGCCAGGTAGGACGGGTTTAGAAGGGAGCGGATGGGGTAGGACAGGCGGTGGGTCAAAATAGGTGAGGGTGAGGATACTCCAAATATAGAGATTGGTAGTTTTCCTGTCTAAGAAAAAAAATTTAAATCACGAGCAACGCAGGCCTCTTGAGTTGGTCGAATTATACAACATATTTAAACAACATATTTAAAACAAACGTACGTAACTAGAATTCTAGCTGAAACCGAAGAAAAATTTCGTGTATTATAAACTAAATTGTTTCCGCGTCCAGCAACTGCTTACTTCATTTGGATGTTGTCTCACTGAGGCAACATATATTTTTCCAAGTGTTTTCTCTCTCACGATATTTGAAACATTTTGATACGTTAATTATTGCCATCAAAGCAATCCCATGTTGAAGAGTCGACTACGCGTGAGAACATTAAGCCCAAGCCAACTGCGAGAAAGTCTTTAGAATAGAGTCGTTGGGCCGGCTGCGCATAAGAGGGGCGTGTCTGGAGGCGGGGGCGACGCAAGGTAATGCGCTCCAAAGCACTCGGAGAGCCGATAGCTCATGCGAAGGAGGCTTCTTGCCTCTGTCACTCCCGCTGCCCCGCCTGCCCTGCCTTCCACTGCAGATCGCTTGCCATCTGTGCTTCCTCCACCAGCCGGGACTGGCTAAGGTGGCTCAGGACATCAATTGATGTCACTGCAATGGCTCTGATCGGGAGGTCCGAGAGTTCGAGTCCCGGCGGTTGCAGGATATTCGACACTAGGTACATAGGTAGGTCGACTTCAGTCGCTGTCTGGAGAAGAAATGTACCGGGCAACTGCTCTAATCGCTAGTTTTCCCTTGGTTTCTTCGTTCAATTCCAGACGAATGTCGTAGCAGTACCCTAACAAACGGGCATCGGCCAGCTCGCGAGTTTCTCCTTCATCTTCCGTGTGCTATCCTCACCACTTACTTACAACACACACACACACACACACATTACATGCAATACACTATCACACATGGCAAGAGAACAGGCGGAAGCTTAGAGATTGTTGGGGCGTTGCCTCGCTGGTGGGAAATATCTGGTTGGGCAAAACTCCCGAAGCAGACGTGGCAGTCGGCGGCGCATCTCACCACGTAGCGAGGGAAGATCACCTCTACCTTCTGCGATAAAAACAAGCACTATACTTACGGGACTAGTTAGCTCGGTAGTTAACGCGCCTGGAATTATTAATGAATCAATCAATCAATCTGGTCCCTCAAGAGTTCGAAGCTTCTGAAAGCATGTTAGAAGTCTTTGAAGATATAATACATCCTTAGTCTTGTAGTAGTCTTAATTTGTTGTGTCCTTCTCTTTTGACTTTGTCCTTCAAGGTTTTCAGTTTTTATTGATATTTTCCCAATTTGGTATTTCTTGACAAATTGGAGTTAAGTATGTCTGGCTCATTTTCTATTTAGTTTTGTTCTAGATACGTTTGAATTTCAATATTGATTTTTTGACATGGAAGGATATTACGTGACGAGATGAAGGAAAAGAAAATGTTAAGGATATACACGAAAGCATTAGTTTACGAAGATTTGAGCGTATATTTGGTAAATATTAAGTTAATGCGACGTTTAGGAATATTTGCTGTTCTTCCGAAGTGTAATTTATGATCGAAAGGGTGGGGGAAGAGAATAATAGAAATTATTTTCTACTTTAGTGACATGAGTGAATTATTTGTGTGATTGGTGATATTTAGTGTTTTTAATGGTGAAGTATTTACCGTGGAGCTAGCTTTTGTTTAACTGTCTGTCGTCTACAATTTTGCATGGTACTAGGAGCGGCATTGCTCTATATCGGCCAAACATAAGTTAGTGTAGGTAGCATAATGCATTTCTTATTAAGGGCTGTGTGTATGATTGCGAGTGATTAAAGTGGATAGCTTTTGGCATACGATTTGTTCATAGCTGTGTCAACAAGTCTTCCAAAAGGACTTGGTTGAAGTAGAGATTTGGTAAACCCTTAGAAAATAGTGTTTGGATGGGGGAAAGATTACTTATGGAGGAAAGGGAAGAGAAGGTGCCTCCTGATGTACCCGCCGAAAAATTACAAAAAGCTCTCGCATTGATATTACTAAAACTTACGAAATAAACGCTTGAATCTTTGATACACCTCTGATATACTGGTTTGCGTTTCCGCACCGTACATGGGGAATATCTTTAAAACATTATTATTCACGATTATATTACTCGCTTTGTACACGTATTTTCTGTAGCATTAGTATGACTATGATATATAATGACTTTCTCGGCCAAGTTGACAGTTCACTACGCAATTCCAAGTTTATACCAGGCCCTCGCGATGAACATAAAAACATCCTTGAATGTGTGAATAATTTCCTAATTATTTTATATAAAAATGTTTTTAAAAAAAGTCACGTATCAAATCCGCCTGAAGGTAAACACGGATATCTTTTATTTGTTTCAGAAAAGCACTCGCTTAGTCATTCCTGACCACCATTTCTAATCGAATTATATCCATTTTATTGCTACGCAAACACAGCATTGATATAACAGTAACCTGACAATCAAAACATCCACTCAAAACCTCCAACATCGTTTACCCTCCACTGCGCGTCCCCCATTCGCCCCAATCGCGGCGAGAACTTACGATGTGTATTTGGTCGATGTCGTTAAGTTGTTCGTGCTTTAATTAACCGATGAATTGTTTAGATAGCCCACTACAAAAACTCTACACAATACACGACATTTTACGAAACAATGAAGTCATATTAAACAATTGAAAAGGATACGCATATTCAAAAAAAAGGTTAAATCTTTTTGCCGCAGAATTGTTTCTTATGATTTAGACTTTAAATAGAGTATCAAAAAATATTTGTTTCATAATACTATTGCTAATGATTAATTACATTTTTTATTCCTTAATTTCAAAATATTGAATATATCTCTGTTGTAATTAACTGCGTAATTTCTGGGAGAATGTTCTCTATCACATTTGGATGGACATTTTTTAGTTGCCAGGATTCATTGAGCATAATAAGAAGTGGTCTACTTATTTGCTTCGCATACTAAATATGGCCTTTCTCGCATGCTCAACCGTCTGTTAAGTTTTCTGTTTTGTTAACGTAAAATGGTTTTTCATTGTCCTATACTGAAACGAAATGCAATAAAAGAGGTCGCTATCGTGCATCCTCGTGCTTTAAATATACACGGGTAATAATATGTTGGAAATATTTCTGCAGGAGATGTAATTTCTTATCAGTGCCAGATTTAGAGTCTACTGTGAGAACAGCATATTGCTCCGTGAGATGCAAGGACCAATATATTCTTAATATTTTTCAAAACCAACGATGATAGCAAATGATGGTCTGACAAAATCACGCATGGTCACAAAAGAATATATCTTCCATGATATCAGTGTCGGGAAATAATAAATTTAAAATTACAAATAATAAATAAAAATTAAATTAAAAACATTGTAATAGTCGTAGATAAGAGTTTGAATGATACACATTTCATAGAAAAACATAATAATGAAAGTGGTTTCACTCATAACTATTATAAAACAGTTCATGTCTAATTCTGAAGGCTTGAGCATAATTTGATCCAAAGGACTGAACTGCATCACGGCTAAATGCCCCTCCGGGCATCTGTTGAGCAGCGACCACCGCCTCCATCACCACATCCTTTCTCCGCTTGTTTTCCCCATACCCACCGCCATGTTCACCTCTTTCACCGGCCCCTCCCTACCCGACCACCTTCCCCAGCCCGCTGAGGTGAACACCTCATCGGGTAGCGAAAACAGTAATCCATCTGTGAGTGCGCGCGCTGTAGGAAACTATTAACCTCTAAGCGCGGAGGAGTCCCGGGGCGGCGGGTGAAGGATGGCCGGCGCGGCGCGGCGCGGCGCGGCGTGGCGCGGGGCGGCGCGCGTCTATCTGCAGTTGGAATCGTTTCCAGGGCGAGCGGGGGAGGCGGGGGAGGCGGAGCAGTGCCACTCGTCCGAATGGGCTCGCGCTGCTTCGGGGATCGTCTGGAAACAACGGAAGTACGGCTCGTTATCTTGACGTGCCGCCTTCAACGCGCCGACGCGGGTATAACGAGAACCGCGGCCCGGAGAAAATATCATTACTGCCATCGTCGGGGTCGGTCGACGTCGGCCGCCCGCCGGACCGACCGCGCGGCCGTTGCGGGGAGGACGCTGGGGGATGCGGCCTACAACCGACGCCGCGCGGCGGCGGGAAAGCGAGTTATCGGTAGATACGAGGGCAGTCCGAAAGAAAGTATCAGTGTGGGGGAAAATAAACTTAAAATTATAAATAATAAATTAAAATTAAAATAAAAAACATTATAATAGTCGTAGAAAAAAAATTACATACACATTTGATAGAAAAATATAATTATGAAGCTGGTTTGGCTCATAACTCTTATAAAACAGTTGTCTAATTCTGAAGGCTTGAGCTTAATTTGATACAAAACATAATGAGCACCGTGAGGAGATGAGATGGTTAAAATCACTTATATAACAGTCAAGCACATACTTTTTCGATTTATTGGTAACGGTTACGTAATATAACTAAATTGCAATTTCTATTAAAAACACTTCAGACCACTCGAAAAAATGTAGATATTTAAAAGAACTGACTGATTTTCGTTGAAAACTCATTTTTTGAAATTGCAAAAATTCAAAATTTTTTCGGCGTCTTCCTTCATCTACAATTACGAAGATACATAATTTTCCCTTAATTAAATCTGTTCCGTAAAGTTAGATTTTGAAATAAGGTCATGCACAATTTTTCAACAATTAACTACTGTTCGCGTTATTTGGCGTGAAATTCCAGGAAAGTACATAGTTTAGTATCTCTAGAGTCAAATAAATGTCCCGCTTGATTTGACTACGTCGTTTTCAACAGAGATCGTCAAAATTACACCCTACAGGTATCATAGGTGGACATAGGTGTTATATTTGCCTCCGAAATTCTGAACTGTTCCGAAAGAACAAAGGAGGTTGAATTGTGAAGGAATTTGATTCAAAGGGCAGATTGATCGTAGCATATTAAACAAATGTAATGACTTGTTTTTACTAGTATTTGATAATAACAGAATGCATTGAAAAGCTCTAAAATGTTTCAAAAAAAAATTGGTTCGTTTTCAGCATGTTTCAAATAAGCTGAAGACAAAAGTACACTTCGGAGAAAGGAATATTATTTAAACATTCATTACATGTATAAATATTGATGCCCATTAATACTGATCACTGATGAAATATCAATATGAATCACTTTCGTTCCAAGAATTACAATGTACCAATGTCACAGATATTCAGCAACCCTGAAAGAGTAGTTCTGTACCTGCCGCTGGCACACGTTTCTGTGAGAAGTAAGCTGAATGGCATTTGCAGGAGTTCTTCTTGCGTCGTAAGTAAACTCTGGTCTTTATGGAAGCCTACATTCTTCCAACCGAATGACCGCCGACGAAGACTAAACAATGAAATAACAATAACGAGGTAAACTGCGTTAGGCGTTGCCAGGCCATCGCTGGCAGTTTAAACCAAACCTTACAGATTTCTACAATTTAATAAAAAAAGTTGTACCAATAATAGCTACAATAATAATGAAAATTATGATAATGATATAACGGACGCAATTAATTACTGAATTATGTGAAATAAAACTAAACAATCTTTCATAAAACTAATTAAATCGTCAAGACATGCTCCAAAGTTGTGCGAGAGAAAGGTATGTAATGCTGCGACAGTATCGAGTAAGAATTAGATTCGAGCAAACGTTTTACATTAGCCATTCAATGGCTGCAAGTAAAACAATCAAGTAAACGTGTTAAACAATAAGAGACCCCATATTGCATACATACGATTCATGAATAAGTAAATACGTTGAAAAATAAGTAGAACTAAATAAATGGAACTAAAAATAAAATTATAGAAGTGATACACAGTAAATACACGCAAAAAACGCCGCCATGGTTGGTTAAAAATATAATTCTGTAGTTAAGCAGTCGCCATTTTGTAGCGATAACAGAGTCAAGCCTTCAAACATGTCTACATTTTTTTATGTTTTTTAAAGATTATTTTGTATATTTCAGATAACTGACTCATCAATATTACATTACACAATATTTCATCAACTTCCCCCAATAACAATAATAACAAAGTGTAATGATTGTTTGTTGGAATATGTGATGACGCTCACGAAGAGCAATGCGAAATTCCGTTCGTAAGAGGAGGCTGGGAACCACATGAGCGTTTCCTCTGCTTGGTCGTTGTAACCGGCCACCCACTTGTTCGCTCACCCTTCACCCTGCCCACTCAGTTGCCCCTCAACCGCCGTGCCCCAATTGGCACGCCCGAACACGCCAAATGGACTGGACCGGCGCAATATAAACGTCATACACGAATGTTGATATGTCGCTCGTCCGTACCAGGAGTTCGTAGGCTTGAGCTCTGAAATCTCGATCAGGTTTTTGTCCAGTTTCCCTGATCCATTGAGCAAATGTTGAAATGGCCCCATCTGGACGTAAATGTAGCTTCACTATGCACACGTTTTATTGAACTCTCCTTTTGCTTGTAATGGTATGAGTAGAGGTAAGGGCGAGTTGCTATTTTGTTAGCAATGCAAAAAAATCGTACATGCAATTCATGTACCGATGCAAATAAGTTTTCTAAATCTCAGAAACAAAAATGACTATTCTTCAAATATTGCTAATCTTGCAGTTTTTTTAAATTTATTTATATTTATTTATGTTAAACATTTACTCATCTTTCAACTATTTATAGTTGAAATGACGAGAAGGGATTCTGGAACGCAAGAAAACGTGCGCCGATAATATTTTCCCCATACGTCACATACAGTTTTTACTGTTTTTTTGACAGAATAAATGTAATATAATCTAAATCACCCCGGCTTTCTTGATTAGGTGTGCATCAGTCAGCGGACTTCTCTCCAGTTAGCACTTGCAGCGGTACTCGAGATTGACTGAACCCCCGGTGGGCCTGACCTGCGAGCGACCGTCATCACGCCCACAGGTGCTACTCCGCGACCTCCCGGCATGCAGACTACTATCTGCCGCCGTCTACCGCTTCCCTTTCCTCAATACGACTGACTGGTATGTATTATTTAAAGAGCGCGTAATAAATCAATTATTAGGGTCCGGATTTCCATGTAAATGTATATTTTTATGCTGTCTTGTCATACTCATTTAACGCCCCGTTTTTATCATGATTTTATGATGCACATCTTACCTACTTTTCCGGATTTTTAAATTCTGAATACGCATCATATCTGTGAAAATTAGTGATTATTCTTCATATTTCGCTTGAAAACGTTAATCATAAATTATATTTGACATATTTATTTTATTAAATTTCATTGTGTAGTTTGTTTGAATACTTGGGAGATATTTTTCCTAATATCTCAAGAATATTCTTGTGTCTCAATTACGAATGAAATTTAACGAAAATCACAATAAGTTCGAACAATTTGTGTTGCATCGATCTTGAAAATTGGTAACGCTAGTGAACTAATACTCAAGACTTGATCGCCCACAAATCACTGACTCCGACATATGTGACGGAAATAGGAAGTGAAAAAGGAACTTCCCTTTGATTGGCAGCTAAGAGGGTATCGAAATTTTGTTCAAGCGTGTTTACATGCTAATTGTAAAAAATATAGTGTTTAGCAGCAGACATTGCAAATTGGAAATTCCCATACTACTCTTCGAAATTTCGTAGTAAGAGTAATCTCTGGGATGGATGTTCTCTGTGAAAAAACTATGAGAAACGTTGTTATGATTGGATACTATATATAACTTACTTTAGTGCACATTGACGAAACTTTATTGCATAATTGCTTACATACTTCGTAGATTATTAGTGCATACTGTGCTTAATCAACCCTATGTTCTGCTTTTTCCCAAAGCTTACTCCTTCCTTATGCCATCACGACCAATTGCATGTTATATACAGAGCTCGCACTTACGCACTCTCAGTAATATTAAATTAGATTAAGTTAAAATTCGACCTGTGATAATCCTTCGGCGAATGTTCAGCATTTTTGGCACATTACTCGAAGCCCGTAGGACTATTTCCAAATTTTCAAGAGAGAAAGTACGTTCTCTTTTAGTACTACTCGTTTGAAGTAGCTAGCACCTCTGAAGCATAAATTCTACACAGTTCTAACAAAAAATATAGATCTACTTATTTTGTGTGTCACTATATTAAATACGACAAAGCACTATAAGAATATCGGATATTAAAAAAATGTTTCATGACGGCGGTTGGTCATTAATGGAAGAAGAAATAGTGTTCATTATAGAGTTCCTAAAGAGTGTAAGAAGGAAATACAAGGCCACCGAATGCACCAGATTCTCCGCGTCCTCCATTGCTCCGCGTTTTATAAACAAGAATATGAAACCGTATACCACAATGCCCTCAACATTACCACAGTTATTCTGCTACCTCAGCGGCTCACCGTTATTTCGAAACAAACGACAGGCGCAGTCCACACAATGCGTAGGGTCGATGTGAAACTCCATGTCGAGTCGCCCATAACTCAAGGTCCGGGGGCCGCAGTCATAACACTCGTAAAACTAAAGGCTTCTAAAGGCTTTTGCGCCCGCTTTCTGAGCCGCACGCTACAGCGAGCTGAGAAAACTGCATAGAAGGCTGAATGTGCAGTGAACCCTACTCTCGAATTCGCTGCTAAAGATCGCACTTACAGCCCTAGGTTTAAGATTTAGATTTACTTAGTCAAAAAAAGCAGTCGAAACTATGTGACGTATGGGGGAGGAGATCATCTGCGCACGTTTTCTTGAATTCCAAAATCCCTTCCCATCATTTTAACTCTAAATAGTTGAATAATGAGTAAAAGTTTAAAATAAATAAATAAAAATAAATTTTACACAAGCAAGAGATTAGCAATAATTGAAAAGACATTTTCGTTCCCGAGTTATACAAAACTTATTTGCATCGGTAAAGAAATTGAACGTATGATTTTACTGTATTGCTAACAAAATAGTAACTCATCTTTTACCTCTACTCCTGAAATTACAAGCAAAAGGAGAGTTCCAACAAAACGTGCGCTTCGTGACGCGACATTAGGTGTTTCAGTTCGCTCGTGTCGTGCTCTGATCGATCGGACATGAACTGACATCATCTATTTGACACAACAAATACGCTTATCACAAAGGAGCACCGGTGCACGAATGCCGTACCGGTATTGTTTTTCACGACTCTGTTGTACTGCTTTTCGGGTCCCACTCCTGCTGTTTTGGGGACTTTTTGCTTGAATGTTGCAAAGCTTCTAGAAGTCATGTCCGGATATCTATTCACACTAAACTATTCTGCGCCACAGGAGACAAATTCCACCGTCTAAGTCGTTTACTGCACGGTATATAACGGTCTATACCAGCTCTTTTCAATGAAAATCAAATATCGGTCTTCGACAGTCACGATGTAACCATGTTCATGAAAATCGTATGTATGGTTCTTTGCTTATTCTGTTCAGAGACGGACGTTTTGACAAAAACAACTCTTTTTTTTTATAAAAGATGATCAAAACATGGATTCTGATAACGCTACATGTATGATAAAGTAACTTACCACGTATAGTGACAAGAAAAATGCACTTTCTTTATATAGGAAACCACAAAACGTGTTTTCTGCGTAAAAATCGGTATTTTCCCCCTGTAGCATTTCAACCTTCTTTTTACTACGTAGCCCAAATGTCATGAGTGGTTTAATATAAAGGAGTGAAGACGGTAGCACGATGTTCGACACTAACCACATAGCTATATCGAATTCAGCCGTTTTCTGGAGGAGAATTCTAGAGACCGGTTCCTCCAATCGGTAGTTTTCGCTGGTTTCTCCGATCAGCACCAGGCGAATGCCAGAGCCGTACTCTAAAAGATGGAGCATGGACAGTGCGGTATCTTTCCTTCCTATTCCTCATCGTATCCTACCATTTACCTTCATACATTTACATGTACATAGATTACATTACCACACATGTCGGGAGACCAAAGCTTGCCCCGGCTGGGGCGGTGCCCAGCTGGCGGGGGATACCTTGTTGGGGAAAACCCCGCAAGATAGCTCGGCGCCGAATCTCACTATCCAGGAGCGCCATAACTGCCAACTCCCGCGATAAAACCATGTACTACACATACGTGACTAATGACAGCAGTTGACGGGCCTGGAATGATCAATCTATCATAATGAACGTTACATTTTGCAAACAGCCCCGTTTCCATTGCGGGAGAAATTTTGGCAGCCCTGTTTGGCAGGTGGTGGTCGTGGAGGGAGGCGAACGCGTGTTTGCGTGACGAGCACGTGCGGGCTGGGCTTTATGGAGCGGGGCGTGCTCACCGGCCGGCCAGCCTTCGCGTCGCCCGGTGCCGCGCGCCG